CGATGTCAATCTATCCCTGGAAGGCCTCTTTCTCCTCTCCACTCCTTCTGAAATACTTCGAGAAGGTTGGACAAACACAGGGCCCCCCGGGTAATTGGCCGACGAGCACAAGATTACACGGACTTTCTGCTGCACAAGGCAAGGCCCCAGAGCCAGGCACCTTGTGTCGTATCAGCCTTGAACCGGGGGGCGCTCGCGCGCGCAGACTGGGGGCCCGTCTCCCACTGGTCTATTGGCTTTACCGTTATGGGATCCATGGCAAAGGGGCGTGTGTCAAGAAGGGGCGTTGGGGCCTCAAACACGCCGTTGACAGCGCGCCGAGGGCTCTGGACGTGTGTTTGTCGCCCTGGCCGCCCGTTCGAATGCTCGCATGGCTGCCTTGACTTGCGAACGGGACAGCCGGCTGCAGAGGAGGGTTGGATGCTGAAGGACTGGATGATTTGCGATGCAGTGAGGCTCGCAGCATGACCAGCGTCAAGCATCAGGCGCCAGAGCACTCACGACAAGACACCAGACTGGCAGACAGGGCCTTGCCGACCACGGTCAAGGTGATGTCCCGCGGCTCTGTTCCCGAAAGCTCAGACTGAACCCAAGGCCCATTGACGGCCGGCCCTTTGCGAATTATTACACACAATACCCGTACCCGCCTCGCCAGGGCTCAGCTCAGGCACGGGCGCATCACGGCATCTCCCAGACTCCCACGGCTGAAGCAACCCACGGCTTATTACAACCGTCATGCATGGTCCATGGGGTGGTCCAGGTGACAAGGTCATTGGACTAGCGAGCCTCAGCGGAGATTGCCGCAGGCGACTTTGAACAACGATTGTCTGTGCGAGCCGTCCAACTACGGTTACAGACAGCCCAATCTGTCGAAGCTCACGAGCTTTTGGTTGCATTGACCCCCAGTCCCCCCAACCTCTTGACCGCAAAGAGGTAGAAGAGCTAGCGCGCGACTGTGAGTAGATCAATCGATGTGGCACGGACGATTCAAGATTAAGAACAGGCACAGAAGTAGGTGAGCGAAGCGGTCAGCCGGAAGCAGGAGATTCTGCTGAGATTTGCTGTCAAACGATTAGGCGACAAAGTACGGATATACAGAGTACCGTGCCTCACCTCAGCTTAGTACTCTGTAGTTAGGGCGTGGTGAGTTGGTGGCAGGCAGTCCGCAACCAACTTGGTGCATCGCGCATCGTCCCAAACGGCAAACATGAGCTAAATCGTGCGTGTACGACTCAGTCTGCGAGGCGTGTCGGGACAATCTGTTTCAGAAGATAGGTCCAGATTGGTCACCAAGCACTAGTGGTGACGAATACAGATTGAGTGTATCTCGTATGTTCGCCAACTGATGGAATTGGACCCAGGCCGAGTCTTGGGCGGGTGGCATCAGGTAACGAGTGGGATCCGACTCCATGCTCTCTGTGCTTGCCCATCGGCATGCAGGTTGCCGTTGCATCATCAGCAGCAACGCGGGCATCAACACAACCCCTGACCACTTTACCATCTATTAAGTACTCGACCATATCAACACGGAGAGCTCTAGGACCGGCGCTAAGGCGAGATGCCTTGCTTCTAGCGCAAATAGCCGTTGCTGGACACGTCGGCAGCGGCTGGCAAGAGATGGAAGATTGGCGTACGCCAACCGCCTGAGCTTGGAGGCTTGGACAGCTTCCATGAGTGTTCCATGCAGCATTCTTTTCTATTCATCCTTCCTTGAAGGATCGCTTACGATTGTGCTACGGGACCCCCTGGGCTTACTGCGGCCAAGTTTGTGTCTGGCTCGACGGTGTTCCAAGTTCCTTGGCAGTAGCCAGCGATGCCTTTGGCAGCGGGAGAATTGTCTACTCTAAGGTAAGGGCGCACACGTTTCCTTTGTATCTGTGTCTATACTGAACAATGGGGGATCCTGGGCAGTCTACTCAGGCATCCTGCAGTCCGCACACTGTAAAACCAGAACCGGACAGTGCGTCTCACTGTACAAACATGTCTGACGCCCTCGACCGCTGGGGTAGTACCTTACCTTACCTTACCTCCTGTATGGAGTACGGTGGACAGCTGCGGGATGCTTCCTCCCGCAGTGGCTTGACCGTGTCCTGCTGTCGGCCTCCTTCGATTCAGCGGGATCCAGCGGGATCCAGCCTCATGCCTTGGGGCTATGGCCAGTGCCTGCCCCTTGCCGGGCAAGTTCTATTCCATTTTACACATCGTCAGCTGCGGCCGGCGGGTGGCGCTCCTTACCCCGTGATGCGAACGGAGGGAGGCACTTGCAGGCCAAGCGCAAGAGGCCTCTGCTCTTCCCTTTCCCTATACTCCGCAGATTGTACCGGTATCTGTGTTGTCTGTATCCATATTGTCCTCCCACGGCCTCACCCCATTGACCAAACCCAAACATTCTCCCGTACTCATGGCATCCTTGTCTGATACTCACCAGTCTTTTTAGCCTTTGCAGGCCTTGTCATGCTAGCAGCTTCGGTGAGGGCCGCGAAACCGAAGATCACGTCTATTTTCGTCTATCCTTCTTCTATCCGTACGTCTATTTTCTCAGGCGCCAAGAAGCAATAGGTATCGCGGTCATCAACGACTATTCAACGCATACGTTCGCTCGACACAGCAAGACGGTTCTCGGACACTGAAAATTTGGCCCTCGACGATTCGATGCAGAAGCCAGTGATGCGCGCCTACACCCTGCATTCGGGCCTCCCCCCTTACTCACGGATACATGCGTGACACGGAACGGCCTGACGTCCGTCACCTCCCTTCAATGCAAGAGAAAACATACCCGTCTTCCAGCTAGATGTCTCCCGTGCCGCACTGGGGACCGCTGGGCCTGGCACAGCAGACGAACACTGGGCCTGATCACAACCACGACCAGCGGATGACCCATCACATCCACCGAACCCAAGTCGAAGCCCCGTTCAGAACCGCCCCCAATCACCTTGGTATCCGTCCAGACTACAGAGTGCAGAGCGGTGTATCTTCGATTGATGCGGTAAAGACTTCAAGGAAGGCCAAGCCTCTGTCAACCTGACATCCACCCAGGGGAACGTAATGTGGCGGATACACATGTTAGCCAACTGGATGCTTCCCGCCAGCGAGCTAGTCAGGATCAGAGATTCAGACATTCACCACGAGGGTATTACCAATAGTTGCGCCCCAGGCCCTCAATCGCAGCCACTGCGAGCAGAAGTTTGAATACCTAATCTCTCTCCATCAACGGCCGCTCCGTCGAGAGTCCAGCACCGCATACTTTCATCCATTTCCGCAGACAACCATCCTTTCTCGATCTGGACATGAAACGCCCGTGCCGAATCGTGGCCTTTGGGGATCTCGACCACTGTCAGTTGCAACATCAATCCGTCTCTTCATTGGCACGACACGGGGAGGCGCTAGCTTCGCCTTGCGTTGCTTGCCTTACCTGGCATCGACCAGGCGAAGGCGACGAGTTACAACGTCAGGTCAAGGCTCACTCACTGGCTCAGGAGTCAGGGAGTGCCAAACAAGGCTCCGGCAGTTGAAGGGATGTGCATGTTAAATCTCGTTAGACCCACTCACACGAGGAGACTACGTCTGTTAGCTAAACTTAGCTGAGTGGGATGAACTGAATCCGAGATGACCGCCGGCCGGCTATGTTACGCTGTCTTCGTGTGTTCCTTGAAGGGCACAGTTGCATTCAAGAGCTGTCAACCGCTCATGGCCAGGCCTTCATCAATGCTTGCTCGACGAGGGTTTGACGGTTATCGTCAAATTATAGGGTCGCAAATTTCAACATCATGGCCCGTTGACCGTTCTGACCCCCATCAGCCACCATCAAGAACAACGGAACCCCCCCCCCCCCTCCCGGCGGGACAGAATCACACACTCCTCTTCACCGGGAAGACGATGATACATGGGCGCTCCTCTCCAGGCAGACCATGCCTCAATGACTTTGAAAGTCTAGGATTCGTCCACCATAAATGGGCAACCCTTGACATACTTTTCTGCTGGACCACTCTGCGGCGGTACCGGCATTTCCGCTGTTCCACTATCATCCTGGCAGCAGGGCAAAAGGTTGACACACCAGAGTTGTCCAAATTCACTGGTAGTCATCAGCTACATCAGTACACGTACAGATACAAAGCACTTTCATGAGGCCGCGGCAATGGTCAGGCACCTCAGTAATGATCCATTCATACAAAGCCATCTTAGGGGCGGGAAGACAACGCGCCGCTTGGAAAATGCAAGGAAAAGGATACGGGGCAGAGATCGGCAGGCAACGCGTTCAACTTTTGCCGCTCGGGAATCGAAACGTCACGCTGGCTGCACACACGCATACACACACACGCGTCTGATTTTTTCCTTTTCTTCTATTTGGCTTCTGGAAGGTGTCGACGGCGCCGCCACCGCCTCCCATAATAGCCACCCGTTGACGAGTCCCGGCCGAACTGGAGGCTGTTGACCTCCACCTTGGGCAGCATCGGGCTTCTAACAACGGTCATCTCAACCTTCGTCTCTTCATCCCGCCCAGGTGCACAGGAGGCGAATTGATCGCTCAAGCATCTTCAAATCCTGAAACCACCATCGAAGGTTCATTCCGGCCGAATGGCGAGAACTGAGTCAAGAATCCTCAAACTTCACAGATTGAGCCGCTTGCTCCACACCCTCATCGGGGCCGACGGCCGCTGGGAGATACCCACTTCACTCTTCCAGCGCAAGGTACGAATACAGTTCGCTTCCTGTCGTAAGCGTGGCGTGGCGGTTATCAGAGTTACCTGTATTCCTTGGAATAAACAGGCAAAAAAAGAATGTTGAATCGACATGACTCCATGCCGGGATTGGGCCTCTGAATCCCTCTGGGTTTTAGATACGAGGCTATCATACCTACGCAGGCAGCCTAGAATGCGACCCATTTGTCCTGTCCAGGTGAATAAAGCCTCAAAGATTGAATATCAAGCTTTGCCTGGTTCCATCAGCCTTGCCTGTGACTTGTGAGCGAGCGTCGTAGCGTTTCTCACGGGCCTTGCGTAACGGTACGGGCTCCAGCGGGGAGATCCATGACGATGGCTCAGCTAGGAAGGCTGCCTGATCTGGCCTGACTCCGCGCGGTTTGGCCGCTCAACAGGGAACCTCGATCTTACGGGAGCAATGCCGACCCCGGTCAGCCTGGGTCGCGTCCGTCTGGCTGGAAACATCGACATCCGACACGATGGTTCACCCGTAATTACCGAGCAATTTGGTCAGTCGGATGAGCGAATCTGGGGACGCTCAAACCACCCGAAACCTGCAAGAAAACACACTCGATGCGCTGTGTGCTTACAGCCCTTCGACGTCGCCAGACGAAGGGCATGTTTGTGTTCAAGAATGAGGTTCCGACCGCAGGACTCGTTGTTCCGAGGTACGTGCGACAGAAACGTTGGCCCTTCCACTCCAGGCTGTGCCACCTTCATGCTTGGATCTGGTTCCAGGGTTTGGCTTGACGTTGCCGAGCGGCCGTGGGCATCTGCCAATTCTCCGAGGCCCGCTGTGACGGTCCAACGAAGGTTCCGGACACATCCTTACCAAAGCACTGAGCTCAGTCAGGGCTGCATTTCGTTGTCCTTTGCCCGGTTTTCTCGTCGGTTGAGGAGTCGTTTGACGACGAATCAGCTTCCCGTGGTGCAGTTTTCCCGTCGGACCAGCAGGTGTTGCGAGTCACCCGCCAGACAAGGCCCCGATGCGGCTAGAAACAGGCGAGACATCTGCACTGGGGTCGACCGCATCTCCGCCAATAAGCAAGACTTCGTGACACGTAACATGCTCCCTTGGCGGGATTACGCGAGCTGGCGCAGGCGGTTCAAGTGCATCTTCAGCTCTTGGCCATGAAGAAGCATTCTCGTCTTTGAGTCGCGTCTCCAGGCCGGTCTCAACCCGACAGGCGATAAGCTTAGGGATTTGCAACAACCCAAGGTTACATTCCGCGGTTGATCTCCACGACCGCAAAGACCATCAAGAGGCCTTGCGTTAGTCGTCATCTCCTTATGGATACTGGGCGGACCGCTCCGTAAAGCCAACCCGGACCCGGTGCGTTGTGCCCAAGGGCGGCCCAGAAACACACAGACCAATCGTGCCGAGTAAACGTGTTGCGGCCGGACAGGATTGAACCACATCCGTATGAAAGGGGCACCTGTAACTCGTCAACTTGACTCTGGAAAGGCTGCAACTGACACTACATGCCTATCGATTGTTTTGGCCTGCCGTCCTTGTATATGGGGCTTGATACGTTGCATCAGAACCACGTGTGAGAAACCTACTGATAGATCCGCGGTGCATAGGGGTCGGGAAATGAGGCGTTGAGACAGTCGAAGCTCGGTGAAGATGCGCTTTATAATTCATACGATAACTCATCCCTCTTCTCAACGAGGAAAATCACGCAAGATAGCCAGTCATATCTGCGACATTGAGACCCATGATACCCACCTCCCCGGCTTCAAAGTCTTGAGAGATGTCTTGAATCCGGGGAGCGATGTGCACCTTTTGACCTACGTGGACGGCAGATTTGGTTGACCGAGCTTATGCGGCATGACTGTCAAATATGCGGGATGCCAGCCCGATTCGACGGCGTCTCGATCAATCAGCCGTGGGGTCGCGTCGGATTCGCCCTTGTGTCTTGACCGAGAAAAGGATATCGACCGGTGGCCATCCACCGTACCCTTTCCCCCAGCAGGCCAGCGAGCCAGCGCATATGCGAGAGTGTTCATTGCGACTGTCGGATCCAAGCTCGTTCTCGTCCCATCATGACCTCTTGGAAAGGGGAAATCTCGCCATATTTATCAGCTACATGCAAACTGCAGGACCAATAAACCTATTGCCGCGTTTTTGCCCCCGGAAACCAACATGCAGACCCAGCATTAGACATGTTTGTGGGTGCCTACCAGTGGGACAACGCACAATGGCCTGCGTTTGTGACCCAACAATAGGAAAGCAGAAGGGCGGAACGTTGGTCGTGGTACCCGCCTCCGCAATGATCTACGCCGCCGAGTCCTTGACTTTTTCCTTTTTTTTTCTTTTTTCTCCCGACGACGACCCCCGAAGCGGCCCGGTCCTCACTCCTTGGTCGTGTTGACTGCGACCCCCGCGTTGCGGCATCGGTGACCATCACCACCGCCCTTGTCCAACCACCCCCTTTCGTTTTTTTGTTTCTTTTGGAACGCCGTCGTTGTGTTGTCTTTTCCCCTGGGCTGGGTTGAGTTGGTCCCGTCCAACCGGTCAAGGAACCCAACAAAGTGACGTTTCCGAGAAGAGAAGAGGGTGACGCTCTAAGCGCAGGATGACGGAGGAGAAATGAGACAAGAGGAAGACCGCGCCGAACCTAGCGTGGCCTTACCATCAGTGTGTCAAGGTTGTCAAATGAGCCTGACTGACTTTGGCCAAGCACGACTAGGGCTGCGGGATTCAGAAACGTCTCATCGGGAAATGTACCCGTCTACGACGACGAGGAGGCGGATTCCACATCTCACCGACAGACTGGAACAAGCACCTCTGGCTGTTTGCCTGTCAGGCTTCTCTGTTTGGGCTGTTCAGCTGCTCAAGTTGCTGAAACCCTTTTTTCCTTCCTTATTATAGCCGGCAATTGAGTAACGTCAAGTCAAACGTCAAGGGTGGGGGTGCTTGGTTCATTTGGTGTAAGTCAGGCGTTTGGCACCTTGCCTCGAATCGTCAGTGGCATTACTACGTGCATGCGTCTTTCTCCTCGTCCTCGTGGCTACCACCCAACCAGAGAGAGAGAAAGAGAGAGGGCCGAGTGGGATATGGCTTCTTGTGGACAAACACCACCACCTCGCTCGGCGCGCGTATGTATGTGTGTATGTGTGTTTGCCAAGGGAGAGGCAGGCGTAGAGAGAGACCTTCCATGCTCACCCCTCCCCCCCCATCCACCCAGATATCGCAGGTCTTACAATGATGTAGTAGTGGTAAGCTACTTGATATTGTACTATCAAGAAACAAAGACTGTGAATGAGGCAGATCCCCTTCCCCCTTCTCTCTCCCCGGTGAAGGGTTGGTTCAGCCAGAGCCCTCCAGGGATGAGTTGAGATGAGGAAAAGGGGGTCAGTGGGGGTAAGGAAGGGAAGGTGCAGGAAGACGTGAATAACGGCATGCTTCTGATGACGAAGGGGAAGCCCAGTAAGTGATTCGGGAGTTCTTCCCCGGGGAGCAGTATACATGTATAAAAGGCATCGACTGGAAGCTTCGTCATTGAGCTCTTTCCTTTGTATGAACCCCATCAGCTTTCTACTTTACTACCTTACACAAAAGTCAAACGATTCCTGTCCCATTGATATCCTCATTACCCTGACACATCTTGACTGGCCCTTTTCCTCACCGACATTCGAACCCGCGTCATTCTCATCAGGAAAGAACGGAAAGAAACATCAACCAAGACGGCGGCCTGCAGTACCAAAGCCAGCCCCTTTTTCAAATAACCAGAAAAGAAAACAAAAGAAACAATGGCATCCCAATCAAAAATGTCCAACATGCCCGCTCACGGCAGCGTGCTCGACATTGGCGGCGGAAGCATGTCCTCCACCATCCTCGAGGACCTCCAGCGCGTCTTTACCGTTGCTGCTACTGCTGCTGCCAAGCACCCCAAGGACAAGCACAATGACGCCGGTGTCGGCAGCAGCGGGGAAGCCCCGACCATGCCCGACGAGCTGCTGTACAACGACGAGGGACTGGCCATCTGGGCGGAAGTCATCTTCACCCCCGAGTTCTACCAGACCCGCGACGAGATGGTCCTGTTTGAGAAGAATAGCGAGGAGATGGCGACCGTCTATATTCCCAACGATGCCACCATGATTGACTTGGGAGCTGGGTAAGATCACTCACTTCCTTTTGTTCACGTTTGATATTGAGGGTGATGATTATTTTGCTGACGAGCTTCACTCTACAGTGACATGCGCAAGGTCAACTTCCTCCTAAAAGAACTCGCCAAGCACGGCCGTAACGCCACATACCTCGCCCTCGACATCTCGAACCACTCCCTCACCTGCAACCTCGAGGCCCTTGCCCCTGAGCATGCCGCCGGCAGCGTCCGCATGGCCGGCCTCTGGGGTGACTTCAAGGCAGGCCTCGCCTTCTGCGATGACATCCCCTCCCCTCGAGTCTTCCTCTCTCTGGGTTCCGTCCTCTTCAACGACCCTTGGAAGAAAGCTGTCGCCTCTCTCCGTGAGTGGGCTGCCCTCATGCGCCCGGACGACCTCATCCTCGCCGGCATGGACGGCCACGATGTCACCTCGACCAAAGTCTGGGCTGCTTACCACACTCACCCCATTCTGTTTGAGAGATTCTTCCACAATGGCTTCAAGCACGCCAACGTCCTCCTTGGCGAGGATGTCTTCAAGCCCGAGGACTGGGATATCTGTGGTGAAATCGAGGAGGACGAGAAGCGCCACCGCTTCTTCCTCAAGGCAAAGCGCGATGTTGTTGCCGAGAAGGAGGGTAAGACGCTGAAGCAGGGTCTCGAAATCGACTGGTTCGACGCTCACAAGCGCAACGAGGAGGACGTACACAACATGTGCGCCGAGGCGGGCCTCGAAGTCGTCAAGTCGTGGGCTATTGAGGGTTCCGACATGCGACAGTACCTCATGCGCACTGCTGCCATTGAGAACTCCATTGACGAGACGGATAGTGCCATCTACGTACGCGGGGAGTAAACCATTCTCGATAACTATACAGGTACACTGTATGTACATAGAGGTAGATGTGTGGTCCTGGTTCTGATCTCTCATAGTGCGATGATGGGGAATTCTTTCGGAGGTGGACGGACGACTCGAAACATGACGAGATGACGGAAGCGCACTCGCTTCCTTAGAGGCACGATAGGAAACAAATACTTGCATAAAGCAAGAATTGCAAATAAAGAGTGCTCCAGAATGAATAGCATGAAGTATTCTGCGAAAATGCATCTCTCTTCCAAATGTTTGGTCATCAATGCCCCTATATCTCCTCTAGATCAAACACAAAGTTCCTTCGGTAGAAATAATGTGCGCCACGAGTGGCTCCCACCAGGAGTGTCGCTCTGAAATGAGGTCAGGAAGGTCGGAAGGAATGTTGTCATCAACATTGGCCGTTATCCAATGACGGATACGCAGAAGGGAGTTGAAAGCAGGGGGCACACTCTGGAATATCTCTGGTTAGAATTTACACCGACTATAGGATTCTCGTCACTTTACTTACCGAGCGACAACTGGTGCTGACGACCGATTGAAACCAGTTCAGGGCACAAAGACTATGTGCCTCTGTCGTGGCCACAATTCCTAGGAGGAAGACTGGAAAGAATGGAGCTTGCGCAGTGAAGAAGGTGCCATAGGTTGGCATCATGTCTATGCATTTCACCAGCTGGTCAACCTCAGACACGACGTCTGGGTGAGGACGAGGTAGTCTCTCGAGGCGGCAGCGAAGGTAGATGAGGGCTGCTAGACGCCATGCTTCAGCCGTTACTTCCGTCATGGATTCTGCGTCCATCACAAGGCCGAAATCGTTTCGCTTAATGCGATCTTCGATAGCGCGTATGTCTGATATATCTCGAGATTGATCTGATCGCGTCGTGGCCGAAGAGGACGGAGACTCGGCGGCGGGCTGTGTCCACTGATGCAACCTGCCCAAATCTTGGCGGATTGTTTTGCTGCTCGATTTCATGTGGAAATCGTTGCTACTGGGGTCCTCCCACAACCATGCTGCCAATTGTGTAATCTGAGCGAAACGAGAAAGAAGTATCGGCGACATGCCGCATCCACCATGTATCCTGCGAGTCTCCGGCTCAGTACCCTGGCACAGCCAAGAAAATTGCTCTCCTGTGTCTTTCGAATCAAGAGGAGCCATGGGAAGGGCTATGATGGCGGCCCTGGCGGCGATGATCATGTTGCCCATCTGCATGTCGGAAGGCTGAATGTTGGAGGGTACCCAGAAGCGATGACCCGGATCCGACTTATCCAGCAAACGACAAGCGAGACGAGCACCTTCTAGCCAACGAGGAACCACACTCGGCGGCCGACGTTGCTCTGGGGACACAACATCGATCATGTTTAGCAGCGTCACGGCGGCAATCAGGCTGTTTGACTCATGTTCCGTGGGACTGGGGTTCCGAGCCTCCTCTCTCAAAGCCATCGTCAAGAGTAGGACGGCTCGTTTATAGTGTGCATTGACTACTTGTCGAATGCTCTCTTCGGGTTGGTAGTCGAGGACATATGTTCCAGCAAGCGCTAGCATCGCGTGCTTGACACAAGAGCTGTCCTTCATTATTCGGGGAATGTTGACTAGCCAGCAGTTGGTTTTGTGGAGGACACTCCGACCAGAACACCATGCCTTGACGTCTTGAGAATGTTAGCCATTCTCCATGTTGGCCAGGTGTACCGAGACTCACAAAACTGGAAGAGATTTTTGTCACAACTGTCTTCAAGGCCTGCCTCGAACAAGAACGTTTGAGAACATAATTCTGACAGGAGAGCCTGGGGATCAGACGGTTGTATCGCCGCCTGTCGACGCGGTAGGTTGGCTGCCCTCGACTTGCCGTTGTGGAACTTGATGTATCCATCAATAATAGTTCCGGCCTGAATGCGGCTTTTCCCCAGGACGAGACGATCTGCATCATCGGCGTTATCCTCGAAGGGATTCGTGAGGTCCAAATCCTCCGCCGAGTCGGCCTCTATAGTAGGGAGTCGCGGGGAGAAAATCACATCTGGCGGCGGGTGAGGAGAAATTGGTGGGCCATACAGTGCCCCATGTGTGGTCGAAGTCGTCGACGGATCAGGGGTTGCTAGTCTGTTGTTAGTCAAGGATTCGTCGGCAACGGTTCCCAAGACCTTGTGCTATCATCATCTATTCCTTCTTCTTCCATCTCTTCTCGTGTCTCTCAGGAATTGCACGATACTGGACGGGAGCGGCACAGGCGGCTCAGGATACGTAAAGAAATCCGTCCAGCTTACATGACTTTGATCGTGCCAGGGGCTGGTTATCCTCATGAGGTTTAGAAAGTCGACGTCTTTGCCGGGGAGTGTTGGCTCCATGAGAGAACCATGGGAACTCGGAGTCTCCTACCGGGCTCCATATTTGGGAATCCTGGACGTTGGTGTTGGAGTTGTTGTCTCCAGGCGAGGGTGTAGAGGCAGGCGTCGAAGAAGGTGTAGTTGTAGGGACAGAAGCGGAGGCTGTTGAATAGGAAAAGAGAGGAGGATCCTCGTCCATGGGCTGGCTTCTCTTCCGCGGCCTAGTAGCCATGACTGTCGCACCAAGCATGCCCTGAACGGGGAGGGACGGAAAGCAGCACGGAACACGGGATGCCCAAAGGCATGTGCTTTGTCCGGATGGATACACGAGACCAGCGTGCCCAGGTCTGTCCACAGTCCAGAAAGGAGGAAACGAGGTCGTGGGGGAGTGTGTGCACGGGTGCCGGGTGCGATAGTTTGATATTCAAAAGTGGATAGTGGTGGAGGGAGCGCTGCGAAGTCCCACGTCTGTGGTCCACGACAGGGCCAGGGGGGAGGTGAGGTCGGTGTGGGACGAGACCGGGTATACCCTGACTAAGAGCCTAAGGTAAGGGAACAGATGCGGAAAGTGGAGACAACGGGGCGGTTAACGTTAGCGCAAGCTCCCAGGGATGGGAGGAAGGAAGCGTGAACGTGGTGAAGGTCGGGTCGGGTGAGGTGGGTCCTAAGGAGGAAAGATGGGGCCAAAGGAGAGAACAGCACCAGCACAGTAGCATCTGCCACCAGCACCAGAGCGACCGGCCGGGAGGAGCGGACGAGATTCTAGCAACGACCACCAGCAGGCCCTAGCAACGCGCTACTGTCAGGATGAACTCAGGATGCCTTCCCGCGCCCGCTAGCTGAGGAAAGAGGTGGAGACCAATGTTGGTGCACTTGCCTGCCTCGAGATAAAGTAGGGAGGAAATGTGAACGGGAATGGAAGCGAATGAGAAAGAGCCAAGGTAGCTGTGGAAGGTAGGAGGAATGGAGTAGGGTGGCAGATGAGGCAACGCGACAATCTGCAAGTAACAAGAGGCAAGAGACAAGAAACTTCTACAAAACTTGGTCGACCTGAGTGGACGGGGGGATCCGGTGACGCAATGGAAGCTCGGATGGAAGTTTTAAGAGGCACAGAGCAAGCGAGCTGTAAGTACACACGCCGCGCCGTGCGAGTGTAACTCCAAGTAGTCGACTCCGCCGTGGACTCGTCCTGCGTGCAAGGTGCGTGCTGTCACCGGTACGGAGTACGGACTGAACGGAACCAAGGTGTTGGTGCTCTAATTTAGTTTGGTAGTTCTTGGTGACGGCTCCACTTGGACTGGAGGATGGTCAGAGCCAGAGTCAGTCGGACACGAGAAGTCTGCGTTGTCCCTTTTTCCTTGAATTTGGCCCGTTCTTTGCCGAACGAATCCGTCTACCAACTGAAATGCTGGCTGCTGGCTGCTATGATTTTGGCGGAAAAGGTAAGATAGGTATCGAGTAAGTCCGGTATTTTGCTGAGACTAGACAAGTTGAAATGCTGGCTAACGAGGCGGGTGGAATTGGAAAGATGTTACTGGATGCTCAATTTGCGGGTGAAAGTAGCAGCCGTCGTTTCGGAACTTTAGATTCCAGATGATAGGAGGTAATTGGGTATCGGTAAGTATGATCAAATTGCCAACTCACCGAGTAAACCCTGAATGCGCTGTTTCAACGTCTTCGGGCTTGACTTGCAAAGCGCGGGGCGGATGGGGGCCGGCGTGTCTCCCGCGCGCGACGGAATGTTGTCTCTGTTAGTCTGTCTCGTCTAGAAGTATCTTGGTTTACTCTAGTCGTTTGTTGTGGATTCAGGCAAGACGGCCACGGCGTTGTTGGGCTGATGTTGGAGCGGACGGGAGAGACAGCGGGAGCCCCCTCAATGTACGGATAGCGCTGCGCCCAGAAAGAAAGACAAGGGCGAGGCGCGACGTGGAAGCGCCAGTGTGCAATCGAGGCTTGTCAAATGACCTGATGTGCCGGACGTGTCTTGATTTGGCGTCGAGTCCGTGATTTAGAGTTTCAACCCACTGGGACCTTCCCGCTCGTCGGATAGTCTGACGGCTTGCCCGCATGGGACGATGCGAGACGAGACGGACGGAGCTGGAGACGAGATGAGATGCTAGATGAGTGACCTGTGTAGGTTTCGTACCTGGCACAGAGCGGAGCGCAGGATTTGCGTGGTGTGGTCAGGTACGTATGATACTCCGTACGGACAAATGGTGCAAAGTAGACGCAGTAGCCGTAGAATCGAGTACCTTCAAGTAATCGTCATGTAAGCTGGCAGCTGGTCTGTTCGGGTTGCACAAGGCAAAGTTATCGTTACACAGCGATAGGTCGCCCTGTCTGCCTTGCCTTAGCGTGTCTGCGACTGTGACGCGATTTTTACATTCCTTCTGCCAACGCCTGCGCCTAGATTGGCATGGAAGCGAGAAAAGGACGGCGGGGGAGGGGAAAGGGGAGAGACGAAGAAGAAATGGTCGAAGCAGCGGGGTTGGATCCCTTGAATGAGGAGAAAGCAAGACTCAGGAGATGGGTCCAAAAAAAAAAGTGTGTGTATGTAAGATTCCGTGTGGATGTCCCATCGAGGGAGGGCACACCGACTGCGGTGCCCAAGCAGCGAACATAATCTGAAGGAAGGTGTGACCCGACACGTGTGTCTCAATTGGCATCAAGCATCGGGACCACCTCCGAGAAGGCAACCGAGCGATGTGATTTGACACACTCCACGTGACTGTGAGCGGTTGGAGGAATGCGATGGGATCGGGAAGGAAGCGACTGAGGTGGGCGGTCGAATTAGATGGGTGAGCATCTACCGTACTTACCCGAGTACTTTGATCTTGACGTCAAGGAAGGGGATGGAAGGTCCCGCCTTGATACCTAACTTAACCTAAGGTAGGTAGGTAGCTTAACAAGGCAGGTAGGAAGATATTCTGTGTAGGCCCTCTGAGAAATGAGTCAAGAAGGATGGCGTTGAGGACCAGGAGGGCTATGCGGAGGCGGAGATTGTGGTGGAGGTGGGCAAAAGAGACAAGAGGAAGAAGGAGGCGACAACAACCTAACACGGGCAGTAGCGATGCCAGATTCTTTCCTCCCGTCACCAAGGCAAGGTATGGAATCTCTGATCGGGCTCAGACCTCACACGCGGCAGATGCTGGAGCTGGAGCTCAAGGTAAGCTGGAGCTGGGCCTCCACTGGTGACTGGACGTGGGCGCCGGAGTGGTGACGGACAAGTGAAGACTGCGACGGCGACTGCGACGGACTGCAACTTCGGGTGAAAGTGGTCCTTGCTGCGTGCGCATGTCACGCCAGGCGAACTCTAAGTCGGGGGTCGGGGGGTGAGCTTAATTCGACAACTCCAGACCCTTGGAGGCGCGTGTTTGGGAATGCGTGGTCAGGTAATTGTTCGTGTCGTTCTTTGTCAACCAGGAAGCAAGATAATGATGAATTATCATGGAAAATCACCTGGGCGAGTCCCACGCGCGGGCAAGATCAAGATGGAATGGATGGCATGTAGGTGGGCAGGTTGTCAAGAAAGCAGAAACCCGCACGTTCTCGAGAAGGAGAAATCGAACAAGTGGGCTGGCTGTCTTTGTGGCACAGCAGGAGAATCACACCCAACGCATTTTCCCAAATTGTGCAGTCACGAGTTGTGGACCCATGGGAACCAGCAAGACGCGACAAGGTGAAGAAGCACTACCTAGACTTCAGGAAGGTACGCAGTAAGGTAAGGTACCTTAGAGAATGCAACAACCTGATGGTATCTGTGAGAAAAAGAAAGCATGGCAAGAAGGAGGGAACATGAGCGAGGCAGGAATCTCGGACAAGGAAGCGACTCTTGAGTCTTGCTAAGTTGGTGGCTGCCAGAGCTTGTTGAACGATGAAGGGGTACCTTCCGAGGCCGATCTTTACCCTTGGTCTCCCCCCTCCTTCCTTCGTGTACTACGGTAGGTACGAAGTCGCCAAGTACCTTATTTGATGGTGCCCCCCTTCCCCATCTTGCCCATGTCAAACTTGTCACTAGGTATCCCTCGCTAGCGTGGCTTCCCAACTTTGCCCCCTCCCTCTTTCCCCGCCACCAACGACCTGCATCCGCCTGCCTACTGTAATCTGTTAGTGTGCCAGTCTGTAGGCATGGGTTTTCTGAGGCAGACCTTTCCCCATTCGCTTGCACATGCATTTCTCCCTGGTCCAATGTTGCAAATCGAACCAACCGATCAATGCTGCAGCAAGCGGGCAACTTGCAAGTCTGCGGCGCTGCGCCCAGCTTGAATTCTGAAATGGGTATTTGCCGCTTTGCAGCTCGCTCAAGGCTCACCAGCTCCCCAGTATTCGTTTCTGTCCTCGCAGCTTTTCCAGTGCCCACTTCAACTTTCCTCCACCTCACCTCATCCCTCGCCCGCCCCACGCTCTTCCTGCCTTCCCGACCCTGGCCTGACCTTCCAAGTTCCATGACCTGACCGCCGTCCATGAAGTTCAGGGGAGGGGATCGTGGCATGCATGGTGCCTTGGTCTTCCATTGTTACCTTCATGTTTTCTTTTCCCTCTTCTTACCTCGATTCTCAATAAACTGCACGATTCTCCGAAAGATACGACGTGGGGAGGGATTGCCGATCCCTCATGCAACAAATTGTTTACGAACACCGACCTGAAAGACGGGCAGACAAGCGCCCAATGTCCGTACGGATCCCGACGGAGTAAAAAGGGACTGGCAAGTTGCAACCACAATTATTATCACCTGCAGCACATCTTTTCTCTTCCTCATGCAAGATTAGAGCAGTTCAGCAATACCTTATCCTGGTCGACGGATGGTATCCGTACTTCATTTCCAGTTCCAGCACGCTGCAGTTGGGCAATAATTACATTCTTTCCCAGCTTGCTTCATATCTTCCATGCTGTTCCCCTGGATCCTCATTTCTTTCTTTGTCTCTCGTTTATTCGCGGCCATAACCCTTAACCCTTGCTGATCTGAGGCGTCTGCCAGGTGCCACTCTCGCCATCGTGGACATCATCACCCTCATCACCCAGACCATGTCTATGACCTTGACCTTGATCACTTCGGCAAAGCCGTGCAACCAACAGAAGCGGTACCAACGGTCTGGTCGCTATCCGCGCCGGCACCGGCACCGGCTCTAGCACCAGCAGCTCCCAACATGCTGATCGACATCATCGAGATGCCATCAAACGGCGTTCGGATGGGCACCCACCCTTCGGACAAGCCCCGGGCCCCTAATGGCTTGCCATTACGATTTCACCAGGCTACGTCTGGTAGGTCCACAACGGCGTAGGTAAGGTAGGTATTGACATGCTTCCAACTCCCACCCAGCCAACTTACCTTATGCTGCAACGCCCATCCAGATAAGTACCTAGTGCGAGAAAGGTAGTGCCATCCTCCCAACTGTGACTGACACTGCCATTTCTTCTTTGACATCTTTCAACTTGGAGGAGAAGGAAGATGGTGATTTGCCTGCCCCGAGTATACCTCCCATAAGATACCTAAGATATTGACAAGGACACCTCAACTACCAGTCGGTCCTGCCTGTCATCTGTTGCCGCCTTCCGTTACTTCAATGTGGAAGGATAAGGTAGTAAACTAATCAAGTATTCCGTACCTTATTTTTCTCACTCCAAGTTATGTTAGGTAAGAAGGCACGAAGCTAAGGTACCTACCTTCCAGGTCTCCCTGCGGCCGTGCCTTGGGTTCCATGCTCCCCACCCGGTCAACCTGCCTTATGGGTCCCGGTAACGGTGCCTGCCCGCACCCCCCCCCCCTTCGTCCATGTCTCTCATCCACTCCCACGCCGCAAGGTACCTTAGCACGCTTAGGTATGGAGACTCCAGTCTGTACGGATGCTCTGGACATTTGAACTTCTCGTTCAGATCGGCCGCGTTCTGGGCCCCTTCTTCCCCCCGAGCTTGCCCTGCCTCGAGCCGCACAATTGCTTCTTCCCGCCGCTGCGTCGCTACTGCCACTGCTGCGTCGCACCCATTCCCTCTTTTGTCTCGTGCTGCTTACATTCGGTCTGCTTATCCACCACCCACGCGAAGCCAACCGTCAACCCACCATTGGCCCTTGCACCCCTTCCGTCTTAGACATGCAGAAACATGCAGAATGCCACTCCAGTTTCTCCTCACGGATGGCCTCGTTCTTTTTCTTCTCTTCCTCCACTTTCACTTCCTCTCACGTTCTGCGGTAGCGGTAGCGGCAGCGGCAGCGGCAGTGGGATCCTCTACTTGCCTCACTCGCCATACCATGCTCTCCTCTTTCGTGTCGTGTCTTGCCCCCCTCCGTACACCAAGACTCCTCCTTCAGGCTTTTCATCATTGCCCCCTCTCCATCTCTTCTCCCACCCCTCTCAGGCTACTCCATCCTCTGAGCCCTGAGCCCTGAGTCCTGGGAGTTTGGGCTCTTTTGCTTGACCGATACCTACGGGCGTAACGAGGCAAGGGACTGGCGCTACGGCTGAGACCGCATCTGCAGCTACTTGGAGGATTCACCACCACTCTCTCATCTTCATTTCCTCACACGCACCTCTCGCCAACATCATCGCTGTCGCCAACGCGCCATTGCATGCTTGCTGCGTCCTCGGCGAGCCGTTGCCCCCCCTCGTGCCAGCCTGAGGTCCGCTTTTTGGCCGTCTGCCGCTCCCCTCCCCCAGGCCTCGCCCCGTCGATTGTCATTCTCCATCCATCAGATTGATTCTCTCTTTCTTTCTCCTTACCTTCAACCGCTCACTCCCTTACCTTAGCTTCTCCTCTGGCCTTATCCGCCGTCCCTCGTGTGTTTCTGCTAGACTCGGGTCTTATCTCTTTTCTCTTTCCCCTCCCCCCGTCACTTTGTTCAACTCAACCCCCTCTCCACCCGTCTCCATCTTCCAAGTTCTCCTTTCCCCTGCCCAAATCCTACAAACTTTTCCTGAGTTGTGACCGGGACGTTACCTCTAGCACTTCTCTAGCTCCATCAACGCCAACGCCAACGCTTGCCTTCTCTCAAAGTCTCAACTCTCGACTCCTTGTTAATCCCTCCTTGGCCTGGCCAGCATCACCAAGCTTGCCTTTTTCCACAAAGACCCACTTGGTCTGCTTCGAAATGGTTTGCTGAACTGTTGTCACCACTGGTCCTCACTTCAACATCAAAGTCTCGATTTCCCACCGTAACACTCGCTCTAAACGACAAGTTCAACCGTTTTAACCTGCTGTTTTGACTTGGCACGATATACTTCACGACCATCCACGAATAGGCACCATCTTAATTGAGTTCATGCTTCGGGCCGCGCCACCATTTTCAACATGTCTCTCGATATCAACTCGTTGCTTAACCCCGAGAAGGCCGTCAACCGGGAGACGGAGGCTCTTATGATGTTCACGGGCATATTTGACGAGTTCAGAAAGACGTTTCCGCGGCACAGGCAGAGAGAAGGTGAATTGGCGTACATGGCAGACGTCACGATGCATGTTTTCGATGCCTTCAAGAAGTTCACCGACGACTACCTGACGAAAGAGCGCTTGGAATCGACCGGCCACAATCTCGTAGACCAGGCATACCGCGCTAATGGGTTCAACGACATGGGCATTCTGGAATTCGCAAAAACTCAACACAAAATGCTAAAGTGCGTACAAGTACTTTTACATTTTCTGACCGTGGGAGGTGCACAATGCTGACGGCATTTTAGCAATATGAAGGAAGAAATCAACAGCAGTGCGGGCAATCTGAAGACCATCAGAGATCGCGCAGCTCCACCACACCAAAACAGATATCTTCCAGAGTACAGACAGCACCCTATGGCTTCGGACTCCAGCTCCAGGTCGTCATTCTCCGTTTTAGGATCGAGCTCGACAACAGGGTTCTCTGCGGTGGGATCTCAGGCATCATTTTCTGACAGCTCGCGTACTTACCATCCGTCTGATGGTGACAGACGATCAACCAGCCCACCATCTCCACATGACGAGGACGAGGAGGAGGATGACGATGTCTTGGATGTGGACGACTCGGACGAGAGGAGCCCGAATCGTGTGGATATGGACTCTCTTCGACACAGAGGTAAGGGCGAGTATAGGTGCCCTTACTGGAGGACATGCCAAAAAGGGGGTCAAAATACCAACGGGGGACCCAAAATCTTTCACCGGAACTGCATGTACAGGTATGACGGCTGGGTCCCATCTCTGAGTTCAACGCTAATAAGAGCAGGCAACACTTGCAGAAGCATTCCAAACCTCACAAGTGCCAACTACCAGGGTGTCCAAATAAGGACGGGTTCGCCAGGAAGGACCAGTTAGTTCGACATCAGCAAAATGTCAAGCACGACCAGCCCTTACCGTTGCCTGGGGCCCGAAGGTAGTATTGCATCTAAGCTCATGAATTAGTCTGCAGCCGGGTTGAATTCCGGACCAGCAACCGGGACAGCATCCGGGGCAGGCAGAGCGAATTCCATTTACAGCACGACATGATGATTGGGGGCAACAGCGGTTTTTTCTCTCTCTGTTTCTTGCTTGGTATAAGGGACAAGCATTCCACGGCGTTGGGCTAGCACGATGTATCATTACTCTCATGTTGGCAGGGGTCAGCGACAGTCATTTTGGATTGGGACGCGCACATGATGCGCCTTGCATGGGAGGACTGGTTGGTCAGAGCAGTCTGGTTCTTGACTACTGAGTGGTTGGCTACTGTATGAGAGAGTACCTGAGGGTTTAGCCCACCTATGAAACATTGGCACAGAAATGCGTGCACAAAGTATCACGGACTACGATCGATGTTGGTCGCCAAATATCATTCTGTTGGCGAAGAGACCCATGCCCGCTTATTGGACAAGCCTCTGTATCCTTGCGCTGCGCCGTCTTTCGAAGAAAACTCGGAAAGAGTCCAACAGACAGCGGACGGAGGAAACGTTCCAGTCGGCAACTTCTGCAGGCCATGCCGATTGGTAATTCTTTGGACTTTGCGGTGTGCCAGTGAAACATGGAAAATCTCATGCGGGCGCTATCAAAGATGGCAGTCGAAAGGCGTTGGGCCAAGGTCGTCACGAAAGAGTCTAGGCGGGTAGACATGCCTGCCGGTTAAACCTGGTCGATACTGACTCACTGAGGGAGAAATCGTCGATGTCGATATTCTGTATCTGAGCTGTGGTATTATTATCACGAGTGTTACCAGATTTTTGATTAGTTTCCGCTTACTGCGGAAATCCTTCAAACGCTTCGAGACGGGGTTCCGGGGCTGGCATGCGCAAAGCAAACAACCTTGGAAGGGAAAAATGGTGGGCAGGCGTATTCGTACTGTACTACTGCCGGCATGATGAGATGCCAGGACGTGGACCGGCAAGACGGCTCAGAACCTGGTGGAAGGGTGACTGGGACACAGCCAAAACTGAGCGGGAGATGTGCCGTGGGCGTCAGCTTGTGTGGTGCCTCTTCCCCCCCCGTTGTGAATTCTGGACCTTGCAGGCTTGGTTGGGGAGGGGGGGCAGGCGACCTTACGGAGCAATCGATGCCTGTCTGTCATCATATGTCGTGTTGTACGGGAAAAGGACGCTGGCGAAGCCTGGTGCAACAACGCCTCGTGGGCAGATCGTCTCCCAAAGGAGATGTACGAAAAACATAGGCTGGGTTCACTACAGTTTCTGAACCCTTACACGGCGGGATGCAATTGCAGCTGCACTCATCTACAAGCGATTGGACACGGGACGGCGGCATAGCGTCTATGATGGGGTTGGGTTTCACAGAGGCGATTGCCTCACCTTCTCACATGCGCCTTTTTCTCGATTTGGGGGTGAGACTGCCATGTCAGATCATTGAGGTAGGATAGAAAGGGGAGAGAGGAAATATACGAGAACGACAGACGCCGCAGAGTGAAAGAGGCAAATGCAAAAAAAACGTGGGAGGGAAGGATACAAGGCACCGGCACCAGGTAAAGAGACAGACACAGAGAGTGTGTGAGTTGCCTTAGTTGGTTGGAAGGAAGAGACTTTCTTCCTCGTTCCTTCACACACTAGCGCGGGGAGAGATGATGGGTGGCGCACCGCAGCTAGACAGCAGGAAAATGCCCAGGCTTGGCCATGGCCTTTGATGGAACATGGTATTTCTAATGAGTCTGGGAACCCGTATCTCGAAAATCGGCCATGCTGAACTGAAGTGAATTGCGGTAGGGATGGGTATGCAGTCGATCGAGTTTGGGGCGCGGGTGTCCCCCTTCGCCAGAAGCGCGCCACAGACATGAGAAAGTTGGTTCTTGGCGGTCGCTGGAGAAGAGGAGAGTGACTGCAAGACAGCGGGAGAAGGAAAGACTGGCACAGGGAGATGAAGAGCAAGGAACCGACCAACACGTCTTTTCGATTTGAAGCTACGGCAAGAATCCCGCTTCAGTAGAAAGCTGGAACATGGCGTAAGGTATTCTGCGACACACGGTCAGGCAACTGAGGTATTCACTGCTACTGCTACTCGAGTGAGGTAATTGAACCCGACACCACCCCCAAAAAACAACGGTAAAAGCAACGAGAAAACGGCCAGTCCATCCGGAAGAGGAGCAATGTCCGGAAAGAGTCTTGAATATTGTGTAGGTATGCAACTCGTAAGTTTGCTATCTAGACACCCATCGCTACTACTAACCTTACTCAAGGCTGCGTACGTCGAACAAATGAGTGAGTGCTCTTGTTCTGGTTTGAGGGAAGAAGTGGATGGACTACCACCTCAATTCAAGGAGAGCAGACTTCCGGGGAGAACTGAGTCCTCCCCTCCTGGCCTTTTCTTGGTCCTGGGATGGAGTTGTTGAGTATCCATCAGCGGTACGAATCGCACGACGCTGAATTCGTCGTGACCTGCGTTAGTGATATGGAGAATCTTCAAGGGTTGTTGTCCCGCCCTAGGCATTTCCTGGCGTCTTGAGCATTTTCTCATTGCAGGCTTAAGAGTAAGGTATGGAGCACGGGGACGGGAGTACTGCGTAGAATTAGATAGTCAGCTGGGCTGGGTCTTGAACATTTGTCGAGATATCATTGATCCTGGTCTTCTTTTGCTGAGAAAAGAACGCTAGGCTAGGGGGTTGATGTTCTTGATAGAAGCCAAGGGTAAGGTTGTTGAAGCAGATGAGCTGTGATTGGTCATTTGGAAAGGAACAAAGGCCGGGCCAATGAGAATAAACGGCACAGTTTGGCAGTCACGAACAAGGCAGGGCCACGGTGCCTCACTTTCCTAGTGTACGGATACCCATGGCACGCCGCACCGATGGGCAAGACCCCTGCCCGTTCTGGATATCAATCTAGGGTCACTATCGAGTACGTACCTCCCTGATGCTCCTCTCTTCCTTCCCCCTGACAGTTGACCTGACCCTCCTCTTCCTTCCTCCACTCCACTCCTCTTTCCCCCGTGGCCCATGGCGGCATGGCCCATGGCAGCTGCCTTACCTAAGGCAACTTCAACCCTTTGAGATCGTGGCTTCCTTGCTCGATTCCAACGACCACAAGAAAGCGGAACCGCAAGCGCAACCTGGAAAGACCCGCATCCTCGACGGCAACCACCCCCCCGGTCCCCTTCATTACTCGCTTACTGCACCCCCCTCCAAAGTCCCCTCCAACACTCTCGCATCGACAAGTCACAACACCACTTCACCTCACAAGCCCAAAGCAACGACCATCCATCTCAACTTGGTTTACGCTACACTTCATTACCTACACCAGACTACGCCATGTCTATGTGACCACGGATACCAATCTTGTCAGATCGCAGATCCCTCCGTGCCCCGGGAGCCGCCTGGTTTGGTCTGACCTCGCTCGGCGCCGCCTGCTGCCACTCCCGAGACGAATACGCCGCTTTCATTGCGACCTTCTGCTCCTTCGCCCTTTCCCTCTGTCTAACCCTAACTCTGCCTTTTTCGCCACCCTCTACTGATGTGATGGGATGCGAATCGACGTTGTGTCGTGGCCGTCGTGGGTATACTCACTTCCATGGTTCCAACAACAGCAGCACAGGACACACACGGCATGGCTCCATCGAATGAATGCAAGTCATATCACCCCTTCATGCTGCGCTCCTGCTGAGCTGCGCCCATGACCATGTACATCTGAGATTTCCCGGGGCCCGGCCGCCTCCATTCACTCTAGATTCTCACTCCAGGGATTCAGAGTCAGGCCATTCCAGGTCACTTGATTTCGCGCACGATTCCCCCCAGGGAGAGAAAATGATGGCAGTTTCTCCAAGGAGATCCAAGTGTCAACGTCGGTCCCTCCCCGAGTGGACGGCGTGTGTCGGTGGTCGGTGGTCGGTTGGACGTCGGCATCTAATCTCGTGCGTGCTTGCTGCGCGGGTCCTTTGGAGTAGGACGGATATCCGCGCCTGAGCCGTGGACTACGAAGGAACGGATGGACGGAAGAAGCCACCGAGGTGTAGACGTAGGCACAGGCGTGTGTATCAAACATTCTCCCTTTGTGGATGATGTGTTGCTATTTTCTCTCTTCTTTCGGTCTTCGAGATGCTGACACCTTTATCTATATAAAGACTCGAGTCGTGCCCGGAGTCATGTGAGATTTCCCTCGTGTTAGTCACAATCAGCTCGCAGAAGCAGATCATATTGCAAGAAAAACATATCATGGCCAAGTCAACGCTCTTCACTGCCCCTCAGGGCACCGGCGTCAAGTCGGAAACCTACATCGTCGTTGGAGGAGGCATCTTTGGCCTCTCTACTATCATTTGGCTGCGTAAATACAAGCCCGACTGCAGCATCGTTCTCATTGACCCTACCGCCCCCGCCAACCCCAAGGCGGCGTCCCACGACATCTCCAAGATTGGGAGGAATGACTACCCAAACCTGCCTTACGCGAAGCTGGCCATTGAGGCCCTGAGGTATTGGGAGACTGACTCCTTCTGGAACCCCTTCTTCCATCAAGTGGGCATGATCCGTGCTGAACCTCACAACAACAAGAATAAGAACCACAACGACAAGGCTCAGGATGTCCATCGTACGCTCGGCCACGAGTCTGGAGCCAGATGGATGACTCCTGACGAGGTGCGAGCCGAATGGCCCGCCTTTGCCACGGCCGACTTTGAAGGACTCGACCGGGTGAGGTATAACCCTCAGTGCGGCTGGTTCGAGGCGGCTGGCGCTCTCGAAGCTGCTCGCCAGAGAGTTGTCGACGAAGGAGCCAAGCTCATCACGGCCGAGGTCACGAGCTTGCTCTTGAACAGCGAAGGAGACTGCACCGGAGTCAGGCTGGACAACGGTCACGAGGTTAAAGGCGTCGTGCTGCTCTGCACTGGTGCTCGTACCTCGTCGCTGCTCCTGGAGAGTGCCCCTGAGCGGAAGGAGCTCCACGCTGGAGATCGAGTCGTCGCTACCGGTGCCGTGAGCTTCACTACCAGCGTTCAGGGGGCGCACAAGGACAACTTTGAGGGCATTCCCGTGCTCAAGAACCGTCTTCCTTCGGTCAAGGGTGAGTCACTCGAACTATTTCTACAAGTACGGATATTGACAAGAGACCAGGCGAGTCCATGTCCATGACTCCGGATGGAACGCTGAAGTTCAACTGTGATATGGCCTTCACATATCACCAAATCCATGCCATGACCGGCAAGACCATGTCGCTCGCACCATCGTCTCCAAGCCTCACTGAATGGACCGAAGACGGAGTCCCTGAGCGTCTCAAGGAACAAGCTCGCAAGACCCTCAAAGGTCTCTACGGAGACGAGATGGAGGGCAAAGTGATTGAAAAGTACCGCGTCTGCTGGTAAGTCCCCCCCCCCCCCCCGTTGCCGCTGCCGTGGTATCACCCGTAAAACTCGGCCCGAGATATGCTTACACCGCCACACAACACAACAGGGACGCGACCACGCCTGGGCACGACTTTCTTATTTCCCCTCATTCCCAGTGCAAGAACCTCTACGTCGCGACGGGCGGCTCGTTCCACGCCTGGAAGTTCTTCCCCGTCATTGGCGAGTACGTCGTCAAGATGATGCATGGCAAGCTCGAGGCCGAGTACGCCGACATGTGGGCCTGGGATCGTAAGCCTGGGGGACAGGTCGCTAATGCTACCTATGATATTGAGGGTGACTTGGGGGAGTGGATGGAGGGCGAGAAGCTTGAGTGCTAAAGTTCATCTTGGCTTTTCACCTCATGATTTAGGAATTGGGGCAGAGGAAGGGATGACGATGACGATGATGATATTGATGATGATGGATACATCCATGCATTGCTGGCGTTATTAGACGAGGTGCATCCTGTGCCGTGGGGTGGCGGGTTGTGATGGTGATGGGAATTGCATTGATACTTATTCTTGCATCCGGCACGGGGCATTGGGATGGATACACGGCATAACGCATGCGGGCATCGTGACGAGGATTACTACATCTAGGGGATGTAGGTAGGCAGGCAGGCGGTAACAATGCGCGTTTTCGTTTTCTTTTTGCCTTTGTTTTCTTTTCTTGTGAGATGGTGTTCCCGAGGTAGGTATCAGTACATGGGGGTTTAACTACCTCCAGCATAAACATGGCTTCACTTTTTTACCGGCATGCCGAAACGAAAATGTTGAAGGCGTGCCGATCTGCAGTGGCCAAGATTTCGGATTTGCCGAAGGAAGAGGTCACTCTTGTCTTTCCTTTTCTGTTTGAAGGATTGGCCCAGGTTCGCATGTCAGAACCAACATGCTTTCTTCTCTGTGCCCCGGTGGCTTGGTTGGTTTGGTCGGTCGGTCGCTAGCCCAGGCACAACCTTCTTGACATGTCGTACTCTCCAGAATGTCATCCGCCTTTTCTTAGTGGACCGCTTTAAAAAACGAGTTTTTCTTGTTGTTGTTGGTGGGTGTTTTACAATTTGCGTGGTTTGAGGCGGGTGCAGTGTGCCAGGGTATGGGTTTGCGGCTTTTGGTAAACAGATCGTATGACGGATACCTTGGGAGGAAAGGGGGAGCAGACCAACAATTCCTTGACATGATTGGATGCCAACATCATCAGGGACTATATGATGTGGCAATGTTTGGATCGGGTATTCGTCTTGACTGCCGCCGCGGAGGGTTCAGTCAGTTCGGTAAGGTGTAGTGCGAAGGTCGGGCTTTATGTACTCTGAAGGGCGTCATGTCTCAGCATCTTTAAGTGACGCAGTGAAATGGGTTATTGGTGTGATTCTCGGTTCTTTGTGTGGCGGCGTATCAGGCTGGAGGGAGGAAGGCTTCTCCTGATACCTAAGTGATAGCATTTCATGATATCAGGATGGCGCGGATTGTGACTCATTCCATATCTATCATCCCCTCAGTCCCCAGGCACCCAGCACCCGCTGAGTTTTTGTATATTACGTTAGACTGGAAGCATACAGGCAGGCACTATCAATGCTTGAATCAGTCCAAACGGGCCTGGCTTATAACAACGCGTCTAGAAATCCCCCCATCATGCCCTTGAGATGTGGATGCAGGATGAGAAAGAGTAGAATTCTTAGCGACCTCAAAGGACTCGCTCTTGTTTGTTTTGGTTTTGAGCCATTGTCTGGTAAGTAACCCGCCATATCCAAGGATATACCAACGTATTTATATACCGCAACATGCAATGTCCGTCTTACTTGCTCCTTCTCTCCCTCTCTTCTCGGTGCGGCTGTCCCCATGACGAGCCGCATCGGCCCAATGGCTAAGGACATTCTTTTTTTACAACCCCAAGGTTGGCTTTTTTTCGGCCTTCTCTCAAGTAACCATGGCTTCAACCCTCCGCAGTAGCTTCCCTGACTTTGCGAGAATGACCTTTCGCCTCTGCTCGACCCTCTAGCTGATCGGAGGTATTCAAAACCTAACTGTTGGTAGACGTGACTCAAACTTCCATGAATGCGGCCGGTCCGCCAAACCGGAACCCGACTACGAAAACGACGATCGACATGCCGACTACGACGACCCGTTGACGGCCAGCTTACCCTCCGTCTTTTCGAGGTAATTGACCAGAGCCTCGATAGTGCACACCTTGAGCCCGAACCGCCTCGCAAACTCGATGCACTGCTCGCCCCTCAACATACCGGGCTCCTCGTGCACGGCCTGCCCCTCGACAGGGACACCATCATCGACAATCTCGCAAATCGCCGCCGCCTCCTTCTTCCCGGCCAGCCTGCAGAAATCAACCGCGGCCTCGGTGTGGCCCCTCCGCTCGCGCACACCGCCCTCGCGCGCGCGCAGGGGCAGAACGTGGCCCGGTCTGCGCAGGTCTTGGGGACCCGAGGCCGGGTCGGCGAGGACGCGGCAGGTGAGGGCGCGGTCGTGGGCGGAGATGCCGGTGGTGACCAGGGGATCGGCGGCGTCGACGGAGACGGCGTAGGCTGTGCCGCGGGGGTCCTCGTTCGTGGAGACCATGGGCGGGAGGTTGAGGGTTTGGAGGAGGGACGGGGCGAGGGGGGCGCAGACGTAGCCTGAGGAGTGGCGGATCATGAAGCCCATTTGGGCTGTGGTGAGGGATTCGGCTGCGATGATGAGGTCTGCTTCGTTTTCGCGGGAAGGGTCGTCTAGGACGACGAGGAATTCTCCGTTGCCTGGGGGGTTGGTGGCCGAGTCAGCGCATTGTGTCTATGACGCATTGGAAGGGGTAGACCGGCTGATGCGCGCACGCGCGCGCGCGCAAGGCGGAAGAGGGCTTTGCGAGTGGGAGGTTTCTGCGGAAGTTCCGGGGAAGAAGATTACTTACGGAATGCCTCAATGGCGTCCGGAATGGAGTCGAACTTTGACTCGTCTATTGTTGAGGAAGGCATTGCTGCGGCTGGTGTATGGAGAGGGCGGAATGGGTCGTTGTGGGAGGTGCGAAGAGGAAGAGGCAAGAGTGCGCAAGAGGTGGTGGTGGTAGTCGAGGTTGCGGTCGAGGCTGAGGTTTCGCTCGTGACGGTGTGGTGTTGGAGTTGGCGGTGGTGGGTGGTGGTGGACAAACGGGACGGAGGGGTGAGGGGGAGGGGTTGTTGTTCAATTGAAAAGGCCGATCCCCGCGCGCGCGTGTGGAAGATGGCAGAAATTAGGTGCTAGCTTGGTGGTTCTGCGGGCAAAGTTCGGTGGTCCAGGGGGTGGAAGGCGGGTGCGGGTACGGGTCTCTTTATCGTCTTTTTTCTTTTCCCTTTTTCTTCAACAGGAACGCACCCGATATTCCGTCATGCGGAAGGAGTGGAGGCAAGGCAAAACGGGCGGAAGAGGATGGGGGGCTTTCTTCGAGTGAGTCCTGGGCCGGTTCCGGTTTATTTAATCCTGGAAGTTGGCGGATGATAGGATCTGGGCCGATCTCTAAGGTGTTGTATCTCGGTGATGTTCAAAATATTTTGTCAATGTACTCAAACTTGTAACTTCAGGATGCACTTGTTATATAACACCAGCCAAATAGTACAACGTGTTCAATAGAATATCTCACATCGCGATGTGGAGGATTGCCTTTATAAATGTGACATGTCGTCGTCGGCTGGCGCAAGGACGACAGAAGAAGGAAAAAAAAAAAAAGAAAAAAAAAAAAAAAGGTCCCGAGGATCGCTCGGCTTTGTTGGTTGACTCATGGGATTCGCCGGCCGACTACCTTAGTCTGCACCTGTCATCCATGTGCTTGCGTCTTGCGTGCGTGCAACTGCACTTTGGACCCCTGGACGATTATGGTGGGATGAGGAGGGGCTGAATGCTACTGGCGCCGAATGCGCCGAGGAATCGGCCAGCGGGCATGAAATCTCGGGCGGCGGTCGGGCTTTCAGAGTTCTACCTGCTGTGTAGTGCGGAGCCACCATTCCTGGCACCTCGGAGTGTCTGCTCATTCACATTATTACGGAGTACATTATTCGAACAGCTGAGGAGAGATGCCACGGATACAAAGACATTCAAGGGCGACCAACCGGTGCGAGCCGACCTAGATCCTGCGGATTACATAAGGAGCAGTCAGAATTACACATGAGGTGGGCGCTGACAAAGCTTCCGAATAAGCACCCGCGCGCGGCCCTGTTCTAGCCAAGGCCCAGATGGTACGGTTTCCATGGTGCGGGTTCAGCCAGTTTCTGGGTAGTCAAGGTATTCCAAAGTTGTGCGATTGAGCACAATTGATTGTCTGAGTGCTGTATGTGCTGCAAATTCTAGTTTTTGTTTCTGCTATGCTCTAAAAAACGTGAATGCCACCTTTAACGGAATGCCGCATTCGCAGATGAAAACGGGAGATGCAGAATAACCAGCAGGGGGAGCTGCCGATTCGAGTGCACTCTGATTCGATGACAGCGCCGAGGTCGCGGATAGATTCTCCAATTTCTCCAACCCCCGACCCCCAGGTTCCTAGCACGTCAAAACTATGCTTTGTCATCATTTTTTTCTCGAAGCTCTGGATTTCCCATCAAACCCTCACCAGCACATTCAATCCCCACACCTACGATCCGTACCCACGACCACAAATCGCCATGGCATCTTCTCGCCCGGCCACAGCCGCCTTGTTGCGCGCGCTGCGGCGGACAAGCACGGCACCCCAACAAGCCTCCCGCGCGGCTGCAACGTCACTTCCCCTCCGAACGGGCCCCGGGCCTGCAGCCACAAGCATCCCTACCGCCGCCGCGGCGCCGCTCCAATTCCGCCGGCCAAGCTCAACCTCGAGCTCGACGTCTTCGACATATTCCTCCGTCTCCCCCGAAGAAGTCGAGCACTTCAACATCCTCGCCGCCGACTGGTGGGATCCCCACGGCTCCTCGCGCCTCCTGCACCTAATGAACCCCCTCCGCCACAACTTCATCCGCGACTGCCTCGCCAGCCAACCCGAACCGTCACCCACGCCCACGCGCTTCCTCGACGTCGGCTGCGGCGGCGGCATCTTCGCCGAGAGCGCGGCCCGGCTGCCCGACACTACCAAAGTCACGGCTGTCGATCCTACGCCCGGCGTGCTCGCCATCGCAAAGGGCCACGCTCGGCGTGATCCGGCGCTAAGGGGCAAGCTGGAGTATAAAGCCGCTACGATCGAGACGCTTCCTGTTCCGACCAAGGCTGAGGAGTGCTATGATGTGGTGTCGGTATTTGAGGTCGTCGAGCACGTGTCGTCGCCGGCTGAGTTCCTCGATCGGTGCGCGCCGTTTGTGAGGCCTGGTGGGTGGCTTATCGGGAGTACGATTGCAAGGACGTGGACGAGCTGGTTCACGACAAATTTGATTGCCGAGGATATTTTGGGAATTGTGCCCAAGGGCACGCACGATTGGCGCAAGTACATCAACGACGACGAGCTCAAGGGCATGTTTATGGGCAAAGGGTGGGAGATGCCAAGAGTCATGGGGGTTGTGTATGTGCCTGGTCTCGGGTGGAGGGAGGTCAAGGGCAGCGAGAAGGTTGGAAATTACTTTTTCGGTGTGAGACGGGCGGCGTGAGACTTGTCTACACGCATGTACGAAGAAGTTGGGTGTGTAAAAGTAAATGTATAATAATGGGCACTGGCGATACCCCCTTGACCTAGAATTGGCCGCGACGCAATGGCCGTGACGGGGCGAATTGACCATATCAAAAGACCGCATCGGATGGGCGGCATGATCCATGCACATTGCTTGTCTGGACTGAGTGAGAGTTGTGGCTCACGAGGAAACACCTAGGCGATAGGTGAGTGATGGCTGGCTGTTGTGAGGCGGGGTGTTGTGATCTGGGTTGTTGATTTGTGCTACAAGTTGAGTTTCGATTGCTAATGCATTCGTATCCTTGAGGTGGAATTTCGAGAACGTCAGGGAGTCTGCGGTGCATCACGAACGGGATCGTCATGTTCGCTCCAATAAGGCTCGCCCATGTAGCACACAACTTTGACCTATTCTTACTACAGCCGATGTCATACGGAAGGAGTCAGACGGTACAGTTCCAATCGTAATCTAAAGGATCTGGGTCTTACAGTTGCGACTGCAACCCAGAGGAACTATATTTTATAGTTGAGACTCTGACCTAGGGGGGCTGGATATTACCGTTGCGACTGTGGTCTACCTTGGAGGAGCTAAATCCTACAGTCGCGACTCTGACCTATCTGAGGAGCTAGATCTTACAATTGCGACCTTAACCTGGAGGAGTCGGACCTTACAGTCGCGACTGTAAGCTACCTTACCTAAGGGGAGCTGGGTCTTATAGTCGCGACTGTAAGGCAGGGGAGCTCGATCTTACAGTTGCGACTGTACCTTAGTCTACCTTGAGGAGCACGTGAGAAGCTGGACCTCAAGTACCTTCCTTACCTTGACTTACAATTGCAACTATAAGGTGCCCGGTCTCGGTACCTCAGCTTAAGTGGGTCTTGTAATCGCCAGCAGAGCAAGTGCGGCATCTCCGTCTCTCAACATCGTATGCGTGTTGTCTCAGTAGGGTTGTCCAATCAGGCCTGGTTCAAATCAAATAAGACTAAGCTTATCTGCCGCATTACAACGATAGCGGAACCTCGTTCATCTTTCTCCTAGGAGACTCAAAACAAGTCTCCCCACGCGGTTGGTGGTTTCGGGAGACTATTAACGCACAGCAGGTGGGAGGGTGGTGTCTCTTTCTCCGCGGCGCAACGAGAGCCGCCCGTTGTGGGTCCGGCAATGTGATCTCTGATTGGCCTGTTTGGCTCTTATCATCCGATGGTCTCCCACCTCGTTATCATGTCACTCGACTTCATGGGCGTACAATTGCTCAATGGTAATACCTACCCGTGCCACCACAAAGTACTTTGACCCCAAACTCTCTTCAATGCAAACCGTGGAGATGCTCAATCAGATGTCATCGTCTCAGCCCTGCGACCAATCAGCGCTCGTCGCTCTTGGGCACCTCTGGCTGGTCATCCATCTCGCCGGAGATGCTGATCCCAGCGGACCAAGCTTGCACTGACTTCATTGTGCGCTGAGGGAGAATGATGCGTCTTTTATCATGGCCTAATGAACCCGAAGACTTCCGATATTTCTTCTTGTAGGAAGTCCTACTGTTTCCTCGTTTTCTCTTTTCGATTCTCCTTCGCTCCCTGAGTGTACTATTCCCGATTGTCACGTCTCATTGGTGACTTGCATTTTCAACATGGCGGAACGAAAGAGACTCGTTGTTGTCGGCCTGGGGATGGTCGGCATCGCCTTCATGTGAGTTCTGCGAGATATCAAATGGTGTAACCTGACTGACTAACTGATCCAAGTGAGAAGATGCTAAAGCTGGACGCCCGCGTAAACGAGTACAGCATCACAGTTCTCGGAGAGGAACCTCACCTTGCATATAATCGAGTTGGCCTGACAAGCTTCTTTGACCACCGCAAAGTCGAGAATCTCTACCTCAACCCAGAAGAATGGGTATGTCCAGGCGCCCATTCGTCGACTCGCCACTGTCTTTGCTAATTTCTTGACCAGTACCACAGTACGCCTCAGGGCTCTTTGGGATACCACGTCAACACCAGAGTCACTGATATTGACTCTCAAGCCAAAACGGTCACCTGCTCAAATGGAGAGATCGTACCGTACGACATCCTAGTCATCGCCACCGGCTCAGATGCCGTCCTTCCCAAGCACACACCCGGGCACGACGCAACAGGCGTATTCGTTTACCGGACGATTGACGACCTCATCAACCTCATCGCCTTCGCCGCCCAAAGGAAAGGCACCGTGGGAGCGGTTGTCGGCGGTGGTCTCCTCGGCTTGGAGGCGGCTAAGGCGATGATGGACTTGGACTGCTTTGACAAGGTGAAACTGATTGAGAGGAATCGGTGGGTGCTGAGCCGGCAACTAGACAACGACGCGGGGTCCATGGTCGTGGATCAGGTCAGGGACCTCGGCCTCGACGTGCTCCTCAGCAAGCGCGTGGGCAAGATTGAGGTGACGAGCGACAACCACGTCCAGGGCGTAGTCTTCGAAGACGGCGAGCGCATGGACTGCTCCACGATATGTTTCGCCATTGGTGTTCGGCCACGAGACGATCTAGCGCGGAGAGCGGGCATTAAATGTGCTGACCGTGGCGGCGGCATCGTTGTTGGAGACGACTTGAGCACCAGCGCACCAGACATCTATGCCATAGGGGAGTGTGCAAGCTGGCAAAGTCAGACATTCGGCCTCATTGCTCCCGGAGTCGAAATGGCCGACGTACTTTCATTCAACCTCACACAAGCCAAGCTGCACCAGCCCAGGTTATTCAAGAGGCCTGACCTCAGCACAAAGTTGAAGCTTCTGGGTGTCGACGTTGCCAGCTTTGGTGACTTCTTTGCCGACCGAGACGGCCCGCAATATCTGCCTCCCAAAGTAGCAAGAAAAGCGAAAAAGGAAGACGAGCAAAGCACCATCAAGACCTTGACAAACGGCCTACCACCGGCCCCTGTCAAGGCACTCACATATCGCGATCCGTTCCAGAATGTGTATAAAAAGTACATCTTCACCGAGGACGGCAAGTATCTGCTAGGTGGCATGATGATTGGCGATACAAAAGACTACATCAAGCTGGTACCAATGGTCAAGAACATGAAGGAGCTGGACATGCCGCCCAGCCAGCTCATCCTCGGTGCCAAAAAGGAGGGCGAAGACGACGGCGACGACTTGACAGATGACACACAGATCTGCTCATGCCACAACGTGACCAAAGGTGACGTGGTCAATAACGTCAAGGACGGTACCTGCAAGACGCTCGGCGAAGTCAAGTCCTGCACCAAAGCCGGCACCGGCTGCGGCGGCTGCATGCCCCTCGTAACGACAATTTTCAACAAGACCATGCTGTCAATGGGCAACGAGGTCAAGAACTACCTGTGCGCCCACTTTAACTACTCCCGCGCCGACCTGTACAACATCATCCTCGTCAAGAAGCTGCAGACCTTTGAAGACGTCATGCGCGAGGCCGGCAACGACCGGGCCTCGCTCGGCTGCGAGGCCTGCAAACCTACCATGGGCAGCATATTTGCCTCGTTATGGAACCGTCACGTCATGGACAAGCCCATGCACGGTCTTCAAGAGACCAATGACCGCTTCCTCGGCAACATCCAGCGCAACGGCACGTACAGCGTCGTCCCACGCGTGTCTGCAGGCGAGATCACGCCCGACAAGCTCATCGCCATTGGAAACGTGGCGTCCAAGTACAAGCTGTACACGAAAATTACTGGCGGGCAACGCATCGACATGTTTGGGGCCAAGAAGCAGGACCTCTTGGATATCTGGCGGATGCTGGTCGAGGCTGGTATGGAATCCGGGCACGCGTACGCAAAGTCGCTGCGGACGGTCAAGAGTTGCGTGGGCACGACGTGGTGCAGGTACGGCGTCGGCGACAGCGTGGGCATGGCGGTGCGGTTGGAGGAGCGGTACAAAAGCATTCGCGCGCCGCACAAGATCAAGGGCGGCGTCAGTGGGTGCGTCCGCGAGTGCGCCGAAGCGCAAAACAAAGAGTATGTTGCTAGATAAATCCTACTCCTGGAGTGAACGAAACCGCTAACTTGTCTCCCAGCTTCGGCCTCATCGCCACAGACAAGGGCTTCAACATCTTTGTGGCCGGCAACGGCGGCGCCAAGCCGAAGCACTCTGAGCTGCTGGCCAAGGACGTCCCGCCCACCGAGGTCATCCCTATCATCGATCGCTACCTCATGTTCTACATCCGCACCGCCGACAGGCTTCAGCGCACGGCGCGCTGGCTCGAGAACCTCCCCGGCGGCATCAAGTACCTCCAGCAAGTCGTCCTGGAGGACAAGCTCGGCATCTGCGCCTCGCTTGAGGCCCAGATGCAGGAGCTCGTCGACAGCTTCTTTGACGAGTGGGCCGAGGCCATCAAGAACCCGGCCATTGCCGCGAAATTCAAGCAGTTTGATAACACGGAGGAGACGGTCGAGAACATGGAGGTCGAGCTCGACCGCGACCAGCCAAGGCCAGTGTACTGGGCGCCCGAGTCCGCAAAGGAGGACTTCAAGGGCCTGAAGGAGAGGTGGAGCAGTACAACTTGGCAGCCCATGTTGCCGGCGAGTCATTTCTTCGGCGCGGACGAGATACCCAATGGTATCTCGGCCACGGTGAAGCGCGGGGATACGCAGCTTGCTGTGTGGCGGGTGCGGGGCCGGTATTATGCTACGCAGCAGATGTGTCCTCACAAAAGGCAGTTTGTACTGTCAGACGGGCTCATCGGCGAGGAGCCCGGCGCCGCAGATGGGGATAAGTGCGAGGATGCGAAGAAGCCTGACTCCGGGTGTAACGGCGGCCCCGGTACCAACGGTACTAATGAGGCAAAGCGGCCGGCGCCGTGGGTCTCATGCCCTTACCACAAGCGCAACTTTGACCTCGCGGACGGGAGCTGCAAGAACGACGAGGAAGTAAGCATAGCAACGTTTGCGGTGGAGGAGCGTGCTGGCGACGGGATGGTATACATTAAACTGCCCCCCGTCGAGGAGCTCGACGCGGCGCTGGGCACGAAGAAGTGGATGGTGAAGAAGGGGGAGGCTGGAGAGGCGCCGTTTGAGGTGCTGGATAAGAAGATTCGGTTCAAGGGGCACCGGGCCAAGAGGCCTGGTGTCAAGCCGATGGGGGCTTTGGGGATGGAGAAGGCGAGAGCGATGGTTGTTGGTGGTGGTGGAGGGTGTGGGAGTGCACCGGATTGGTGAGGTCTTTTTGTGATGGGTAGATGGATGAGGAGTTGATGGTGCTGGATATATTGGTTGATTACATAGGTTAGCAAACATGAGCGATTCTGATTTTGAAGAAAGCTGTCTCGTTGATCAAGTTTGAGCTACTACTTTATGAGATATATACGACTACCTAAGCCGTACTTTAACTAAGTAGAATACCGTACGTCGATTTGAATCTCTTGATTCAAAACTCTGCTGATCCATACGAACATTAGGTGCCACTTCCAAAGTAACCGCATCTCATAGTCAAGAACGAGCGACCTGGCGATAGGGGCTATAAGGAAGACCCCAGGGAGTGTCGACTCGTTCATATCAACCGCATCCCTCCTCATCTGCGGACTTGCGGTTTAGGCAGCAGCGGTGTGGGGGTGGAATCCATGAGAATCGCTCTGCTATAGGCTCGGCTGGCAAACAACGGTGTATGAACTTTTGCTGAATACCATTCATCCATGAAAGTACAAGTCCTGAACGATCGTCCAGCAGTCCCCGGCTTACCTAGTAATCAACGTATTCGCTCACGGATACGTTACTGCGAGCACGTGCTAGCACAGAGAGCCTGGAGTCAAGGGATCACATGTGAAGGGGAAAGAAAGAGAAAGTTGCGGATTTTTCAGTGGTCAGAGAGAAGATATTAGGATCACTCAGCGACCCCAACTCAACTGTCTCTTTGTACTTCAGGGCACAAAGATAGCTTTCGTGAGCGACTGCCACGGCGAGGATGACCGTCTTATAGGGACTCACTCTCACAAAGGCATCAGGATGACCAACAACGGCGTTACACCCACCTGAACTATGAGGCTTCAGCATAGGAGAAGAAGAGAAAGCCATGAGGAAGATACGAAGGTACCGTTGTCGAGCGAGGCGTCGAAACTGTCCCGATATGCAGTGGGAAAGAACCAACGACTTGTTGGGAAGGAGCCATACAGTCAACTGCCCCGTACAGTCACCGGTTGGGTATGGTATATAGGGTGGCTAATTGCTTCATCTGTCACCATCGGATGAGGAGATGCCTTGGCGTAATAGTTGGGACTGCCCACTCCCGACCTCAACGCTAGGTAATTGACCCCGGTGCTTTTTGTTTTTGAAGGTCTCGCGTTCGAAACTCCCTCTGGAAGGGTTTTGTTGGGCTGTCTGTAGTGCGTGGTGTTGAACGTGGTTTGCTGACCCCATGGAGATAAGGTACGCGGCTCTACTACAGCTGCAAAAGAGAGTTTGGAATGATTCAGGCCAAGTTACAATCAGGTTCTTGGAAGAGTCAGCAAATGCCCGGGGCTGTCAGCCTTATAGCGAAATATCCAGATTGTGTTTGAGTCTTTGGGTGTATTAAACCTCCGCGGCAGTACGGCAGTGCGGCACTTCGTCGAGGAAGCCTCGGATTCGCATTAGTGAGACCGCATTCGTATCTCCCGCTGCTTCAGCGGTTCCACCCGCGGTTCCCCCACAGTCTTAGCGTGACGACTAGCGGTTTGATCTGCAAGAGATTCCCCGGCAGGTGTCACTGTCGCTCTGAAGCTTGAGGTGAGGTGGGTGCTTTGTCAGGTTCCTCGTTTACCTCGACGGGGGCCCTCGTAATTGACTTACGAAGTCTCCCCGTATTCGGCATGTAGCAGCCCTTATTGGACAACAAAGTTCGTAGCTAGTGCACTTGGATCGTTCGCATTCTCTTTTTCTTTTCATTGTTCTCCCTCATTTCCCTCCCGAGTCCTAACCCTTTTCCAACATCTCACCCGCCCGCCGCCCCTTCTTACGAATCCGAACCCGCTTCAACACTGACTGGACTTCCACTCCCACGGAATCCACGGTGTAAACCGCACTCCACCACAAATTCCAACCAACGGTGAACCTGAACACACCCCTTGTCCACCCTTGCCCCGTGCCGGCATTATCGCGCGCGCCGGCCATGGAGAAGCGTACAAGGCGCCTCGGTCACAAGAAATCGAGGAACGGATGCCAGCGCTGTAAAGCACGTCGCGTCAAGGTACGATAAGGTCCCTGGTGTCTGGTGTATTCGACACGACTCTGTTATCGCTCCTACGTATTAGCCATGAACTCATGTTTTCTTTGTGTGTGTCTCGTGTAGTGTGACGAGGAACGCCCGTGTCAGAAGTGTGTTGCCCATGGTGCACACTGCAGTCTCCTCGATCGTCCCGCATCGGTAACGGCGCCTCTCACGCCACCCGCCGCAGCCAAGCTCGCTCAACATGAGCAGCGATACGCACCCATTCAGGCAGCGGCGGCGGCGACGACTTCGTCAACTTCGTCTTCGAAGCTGTCAAGCCATGGCATGCAAGAAGCGGCGAGTGAAGCAGGTCTCACCCCCAACACTGCAGGTATGACATGATCAAATACCCAATCTCACATCACAGATCCTTGGCATCTATCTCCTCGAACTAAGCAATTAACCTCGTCTCCTCAGTGAGCAGCACTTCTCCCTATCCCGGGGGTGAAGCGGCGCCAGACCCTCGCAACCCCGCCACAGATCCCTGGGATCTCTCGGAGGATTGGCTACAGAGTTTACGCCTGATGCACCACTACAGCACCAGTACCCGGCACGTCCTGCCAAAGGATGCCTGTACCGAAGAACTCTGGAAGACGGCTATACCCGAGATGGCTTGCTCTCACGTATGTCAGAACCTTACCCGGACAGGCCAACTGTGCTTCCATTTCACACACCCCTTCTACCATCATGGAGACGTACTGGATGGAAGGGAAAGAGGAGGGATTTGCGAACCAGTTCGTCTTACTAACACCGCAACTCAACCACAGAAATTCCTCATGCATGGCCTATTGGCCTTGTCCGCCCTCCACTACGCCCATGTCCACCCACAGGAGCGGAAAAAGTACGACATCATCTCTGTGAACCACCAGAACGAGGCGCTGCGCTTCTTCGCCCTCCGTCTAAACGACATCAACAAGGACAACTGCGAGGCCTACTTCTTCCTAGCGACGCTCATCTTTATCGTAAGCATCTGCTCCGTCGCACACAGCGAGAGCTTTGGTAGGTCCATCGCCCTCAGCGACGTCTCGCAGTCCTTCTCGCTCCTCCACGGCGTCAAGGGCATCCTCGACTTCCAGCCCATCGAAGCCTGGAGGCAGCGCGGGGGTCCCCTCGACGGCCTGCTGCGCCCACCCGTACTAACGCAGGGCGGCTGGGTGTCGACGTCGGCCTTCCAGAAGCGTCTCGACGCCATCACCTCACTGGCGAGAGAAGTGCCCGCGTCCTTCACCGACGTCATCAACCCGCAGTCCGTCTGCGTGTTGGCGCTCGAGGGCCTGCGGAGGGCGCACCAGATGAGCAGGGGCGAGGGGGAGAAGCCCGGCGGGGTGTGGGGCTGGTCGGCTACCCTGCCCGCCATGTTCATCGACATGGTTGCCAGCGGGCATCCTACGGCGCTCGTCATCCTGGCGCACTATGCCGCGCTGGCGAAGCCGTGTGAGAAGGCCGACTGGCTTTGCGACGGGTGGAGCGGCGCGGTGATGCGCTTGATTGAGAGGACGTTGGAGGATGAGTGGAAGCCGTGGATCGAGTGGCCGAAGCGCAGCGTCTTTGAGAGGATTGACGTTGATGATATGGAAGTTTGAATTGATACCCCAATCGCTAAAATTTCGTCTACAACAAATCCCTGAAAATGAATATCAAAAAAGTGGCCAATTCCAGAGTCATCATCAAGATCATCGGCGCTATGTACATTGGATGCTGCCATTTTCAAGATGACTTTTCTGTCAAGGAGTCCCGAAGAAGCAGACAGGGTGGCCCATGGCTTCAAAGTAAATCGCTCGTTACTCCGCACTCTTCTGGGTTGAAAGCAACGTGTTGCTGCAAAAAGTCGATTCCCCTCAAGTCTCGTATCCGTATCCGTATCACAACTTTCGCTTCCACCATGCCACTTAGAGCTTTCTGATCATGATTGTCTTTTTGGGATCCGGAACAGTCTAGCAGTCCACGTCAGCGTCATTCATCCCATTTGACAGGATAATCATATCCCTTAGATTGAGGTTCGGAAAAGGGGGAAAGAGAAGGAAAAAAAAAAAAACTCACAGCAGCGCCAAAAGCCAAGTTCTCATATCTCTCCGTCACGCCCTCGGGCAACTTGATCTCGTAATTGCAAATGATATTCGCCATAATCATCTTGATCTCATTCACCGCAAAGAACCTCCCCGGGCACGCATGTTTGCCGTAGCCAAACGTCAGGTGCGTGGTGCCGACGCTGACGAACTGGGCCTGCATGACGACCTCTGCCGCCTTGGTGCCCGAGGTGGCGAGCTCCTTTGCCTCGCGGAGCTTGTAGAAGCGCAGGGGGTCGAATACCTCTGGGTCCGGGAAGATTTCCGGGTCGTTGTTCATGCCGCCTGCGGGGACCTCGATGAACATCCCTTCGGGGATGGTTTGGCCATTGGGGAGGGTTACGTCTTTGAGGACTTTGCGGGTAAAGGAGGCTATGATGGGAAAAGGGGGATAGGTTAGTCCTGAGAAGGCCGGATGAAAAGCCAAGTCTGTGGTTTCCCAAGGTGTGATAACGTTAAAACATACCTGCTGAAATCGGGTTGACGCGCATTACCTCCTTAAGGAAGCTGTCCAACTTCTTCATATTCTGCAGCGCGCCGCTCGTAAAGTTTCCACCAGACTCAGCGAGAGCCGCCTGAATATCGTCCCGAAGCAAGGAATTGATCTCAGGCTTCGCCGCAAGCCAGTAAATTGCATTCAGCGTCGTCATGGACGTCGTATGAATCGCCGCAAAACTGACCCCCAGCTGCGCCATCGCCATCTCGCGATCACTCAGCTCGCCAAACTTGCCCTGCGCGTTGAGGAGCCACTGCAGCATGTCGTCCGGCTCGCGGTAATCGTCCCTCTTGGCAGCCTCTTTACGGGCCGTCACGATGGGACGGAAGACGGCCTCGGCGTCGACGATGCGCTTGTAGAGCTTCTTGGTGGTGGGTAACCAGGAGGCGACAAAGGGGCGGAGGAAGGAGGGGACAAAGGCGATGACGTGAACTGCGGTCATGAGATCTACGGTGTAGGAGATTGAGGCGTCGAGGTAGCGTTCGTCGCGACAGAGCTCGGAGCCGATGAAGACGCGGCCCGAGACCATTGCGATGATGCGGAGGAGTTTGGCGTTGATGTTGATTTCGGTCCAGGTGGGGGATTGGGGGAGTTCGAGGCGCATTGAGTCGATGACTTCGTCTGAGATGCCTTCGTTGAGGCGGGCTGTTTTTGAGGGGGAGTGTTAGTTTTGGGAGTAAGGAGTCTTGGATATTGAGCGGATTAAGGGGTTTACGAACGTAGAGCTGGGGTTAGAGAGGCTCTGACGGCGTGGATGATGATGGGCATGTCGTTTGAGATTTGGGTGTATTTGACTTGCATAGACTTTTGGTCAAGTTAGCTGTCTGAAATATTGTAAAGTCCAGAGGTGGAGGAGAAAGTGGGCTCTTTACGCACCTCGTCAATGGCCTTGGTGAAGCTGATGACATCGTCGGGAACCTTCTTCAACTCGGGGAGGTACTTGGGAGGCACGCAGATGGTATCCTTCTCTGAGACATGTAGGTCAGCGCGAGTCCGTTGTCAACAGCATCTTGACCCGTATTCCTGGAAAACCCACTCTTGGATGTCGTGATGCGGAAGATGCTGTCCTTGAACTGTTTATACCCGTCGGCGTACATCTGCGGCCCCTTGCCCGCCAGATACGCTTTCCTGCGCGCCCATTTTCCGCCCTGTCCCACGACGGGTACGTGGGCCACTGGGTCGACTTTGAACCAGCTCTGCGCGAGGAGGGCGAAGACGATGAAGACGAGGCCGGCTGTCGCTGCTGGCCAGTGTTGAGGGTCGAACGTAGTGCCCGCAGCGGCGACCGGGTCGGTTGTGTTTGTCATGTTTTGTGTGGCGAGTGTGGTCCTTCCGAGTCACGAGTAGGTAGGTGGTGGGAAGGAGACTGGGTGTGAGGGCCTGAGTACGGACGAACTTCGAACTCCGATAATATTGAAGGGTGTCTAGTCTTTATGTAGTCGTCTCATCGTCGACCACACACCTACGCACCTCCGCACTCGACGGTGCAACGGTACGTATGGGTTCGCATAGAGAACTGGTAGGTAGGCCATGTTGTTGCTTCTCCATCGCTAGCTAGCCCAGCCCCTGGCTCGGGGTCCAGCGCGACTATGACGCTTAGGGAGGGAGACGAGTCGTTTGCTAAAACCACTTCCCGCATAAGCGTAATTCTTGCTCTTCTGATTAGAGACTACGGTACCAAGGCCCCACACTGGTGGGCTTGGTGGACGGTAAGACTCGCGTGGGATATGCCTAGTTGCCGCGATGTTTGGCAATGCAGATCGATGGTGGTTTTGGCGCGGAGAACAGGGGTGAATGGGGTTGACGATAGGTGTGGTGTGTGTGTGGTTGTCGGTTGTCAATGCATGGATGATCGGGTTCGTGTTCGCATTGTGGGGCCGTCTCGTATGGGAAACGCGCTGGGACGAACCGACATTCGTCTCAGATTGCACCGCCTAGACGGGTCGGGGCCCGGGACATCAGTGCCGGGTGGCAAACCGGATCAACTTGGTGGCCGGAGGCCGGTACTTGAGTTCCGGTTCCCGTTCGGAAGCAAGTGTCGGCGGCCCCATATTTGTGGGAAAACGTATCTCATTATGTCATCCGGTCGTCTCACAAACGTCGAGATACGCGCTTACCTAAGAGAACTTCGATCACGTGAGATGTCTTGTTCCGCCCCGGATGGCAGACGGTGCCAGCGGGAAACGGAACTGCGGCCGCCAAGCCCCTCCGATTCGCCGTTTCTTCATCCCTTTGTCCAGAAACAGACCTTGAAGGACTTGCTCGCGAACATGCTTCATTGTCCTACCTAACACAGCGCATTTACCGCCCAATCTGGATTATCAAACATCTGAATGCGGCCCATGGTTTTCTCCCCCATTTCGCGACACAATTCAGCGCTTATCCGAAGATGACACGTGAGCAGTCAGGTGCAGGCATGATTTCGGGAATAAGATTGACAAGGCTACCACTTTTTGCGTCCGATCCTTCGTTACATTAACCAATTGACGCTTCGTTACATTGCCCAATTGGCGAATTGAAACCGTGAGAACCTTTGGGAGCGGTGAGTTCCGGTACTAGTACCCGACTTTCCAACCTCACTCCGTTATCTGTGCCTCCTCTCCCCGCCGTCCAACCTACACAGTAAGACATAACCTCCACCCCGCCCCGCGGTTTGGGAGCTTGATGGTATCGCAACCACGCTCCGGGTTCCACACTTCTCAGCCGGCAGCAATCGCTGCCAAACTTCTAACAGAAAGATGAGTAGCTTTGTAGACCTGGACGGCGGCGGCGGGCTGCCGTCTAAAGGTTTGCCGTACTATAGCTATGTCGCCTTCCAAGATGTCCTCGCCGGCCCGTCTCACCTTCACTCTCCATCACATGCAAAGTTCCAGGCTGGGAACACGACGACAACGACGCCGATTCTGACTACAGCCCAACTTTTCAATGCTTCCAGGGTCATGGATATCACCAACATTATCCGTGCCTCGGTCGCGGTAGTGCTGCTGTTCCTTGTTCTCCTGAGGCCGCTTCTTCGCAGGAGACCCGCGTGGTGCTCTGGCTTTGCCCAGGAGTCTTCTTACGGGGATACGACACATCCATCACTGAAAAAGGCCTGGACGTTCTGGACAGTCTACCTCTTCGCGGTTGTGCTGGCCGGGCTGGTTCAGGGCGTGTCATCTACTCTCGCGCAACCACGCCGCTTTTTTGACTTGCTAGACTTGGTGCCCTGGATCATCGCCGCTCTAATTACCGCCATGGACCGGCCTACCAAGACACCCAAGACACTGTTGTTCCTCTACCTCACAATCTTGTCTTGTGGCGTTGTCTCGACGGCATTCAGTTACAGACTCCACAGAGTAGTCCATACGCTCATCCTCGCGGACCCGGTCATCAGCCTGGCTGGCATCATTGGTATTGTAGCGATGCCGATGCGGGACCCGTCTCTCGGTGACTCTGACATTGCGCGCGCCGAACCCACCGACCAGCTCCGCAGTCCCGAGGACAACCTGTCTCTGTGGAGATTCATGACCGTATCGTGGATGGCGCCTATGATCTCGAAGGGCTACGAGAAGCAGCTGCACAACGAGGACGTGTGGCAGCTGCCGTTTGATTTCCAACACGAGCGCCTCCACGGACTATTTCACGAGCTCCGTGGGTCCATGACCTCCAAGCTCTTCTTGGCAAACGGCCTAGACTTGATCATTCAGTCGTTTCTTGGAATTGTTGAATGCGCTGCCGCGCTCTCCGTCCCCATGTTGCTGCAGCAACTCCTAAGGGCCATCCAGAGTGGGACCAATAATATTGAAGTGTCCATCCTGTACGCTATTGGCATATTGGCTGTTCGTCTTATTGCCTGCCAGGCTGCTGTGTTTCAACTCTGGTTCTCGAGGCGATGCTATGAGCGGTCTCGCGGAGAGATGATTACCACACTTTACGCCAAGACCTTGTCGCGTAAACACTTTGGTCAACCGGCTGCCGAGAAGATGTTGGATGGAGCCCAAGAAGACAGAAACGATGAGAGCGATGTCGATGATGAAGACACAGAAGTCGCTACTGACGACAATGAGAGCGGCAGCGAACCTACCAGCCGTCTTGGGAGGCTACTCGATTGGTTCAAACGTGGACGATCAACAAACCAAAAGTACCGCCGGGTGCAAAGTCAAAAACCATCAAGGCAGCCTGCCACCACTGGAAAGATTCTCAATCTGATGAGAAATGACGTCTACGAGGTTGCCCAGCGCTTCTGGGAATTCCCGGCCCTGGTCGTGAAGCCGCTCCAGTTCATCTTCTCCTTCTTCCTCGTCTGGCAGCTCCTTGGCTGGTCGTGCATGT